ACGTAGACGTTTTTATTTCTAATTCTGTTTATCCGTTTTATTCCATTCTATTATTTCAACTTCATCTTGTTTTACTTATATTTTAATTTGGAAGTACAAAATTTTCTTTTAATTCATTTAAATTCAACATTGAAACTCTCTTTTAGGCACATTCTGTGTATTAAAATTGACGATCATTAACCATCCAACGCTCCATTTCGCCACTTCAGAATTATATCAGATCCATTATATATAATTTTAAAAATCTTTTATTATAGATTTATGTTTTCGTTATACAAAATTCCGCAACATTCATTCTCAACTACATTTCAAAGATAGAACAAAGCTTCTGCATCAATAAAAATCGCAAAGCGTTGTTATAAATATAAATAATTTAACGACTTAAAACTCTCAAATACGCTCGGTATGAAATATTTGGACAATGCTCCCGTCTTCTTATACATTGCACTAAGTTCGAAGCCTTGTTAAGGAGCATTTCTTTTCGTCGGTCTTTTTATGTTTATTTGTTCAAGAATATGGGGAATTCGTGTGCCCATTTCTTGGCAATAATAGAAAAGACATTGACCATAACGTACAAGAGAAGTAAGCCGAAAGAATGTTCGTTGCGATTACTTCGAAAATATTTGCTCTTAAGTCGATTCTATTCCATTGTCCCTTTTACTGTCCCATTATCGTTCAATCGAGCATCCGAACGAAACCTTTTGTATCCGTTACAAGGATCGAAGCTCAACGTCGGAGCTCTTTTTCTGCTCCTCTACCGTTTGTTCGTTCATCGAATTCAACGATCCATTGGCAAAGTGAAATCAAATCTTACGCTCGATTTGACGCCGATTCTTGACGTATCTTACCGCGTACCTTTTGCGGACAGGATGAACGAGGAAGACACCGGGAAGAGATGTCTGTTATGACAGGGAACTACTCGCACCTCGATTGTTCATTGTCAAATATAGGATTACTTCACTCTTCTGTTTGCCCTACCTTCGGATCAACCTCACGAAGTGGAATTAAATGCCGTGAAGGCTGAACCTATTTTTCGAATTCGAGAAAACATTGTTAAATTGACGCACTTAAGGAGCATTTGATTGACGGACTGAAACACGCGTTCCAGTCACTGTTTTGGGCAAAATTTCACTTGGATGACCGATGAAAGATAAAGACCAACGAGTACAATTTTATTCGGCGCTGTCGAATCAATGCCGAATCGAACAACAATTCATCTGGATAATAGCTTAGCCGAATTAGAAATTATTGATAATTGAAATAATGAAATGAAATACAAATTTATTTAGATAACAATTTAGCCGAATATTTGTTATTCCAATGAGCATTTATTCGTACAGGAAATTCATTCGGAAAATAATCGATTTGAATAAAACGTTTATCGATGAACTTCTTCCTCGTTAATTTTTACAATTAACTGTTCTTCTTTGTCGCATCGGCAAGTTTGTTATTACGTAAAAATAAATGCAACGAATAATTCTTCGCATTATTATTCGAATAATTTGACGATCCCTGTTCGACTAATTTATTCGAATAAAGAATATTATTACAATAAAATATTCGCCTAAAAAGAATTCATTCGAATAATTGATTAAATATTTATTGGAAAAATTCAGGTAGTAAATCTTTGAAAAATAATACTGAAATATTCTCTTATTCAGGATGAGTAAGCTTATTATGTCAATCTTTGGATAACAGACCATTTTCACAACTGTATGTATAATTGTCGTTGTTTATTGAACATTCTCAGCTTCGCTCGCTAGTTTTTCAAATCCATATTTTGGAAAATACTCAATGCTGACGTATTAGTCCTTTTGTCGTTTCTAGTGTAATGGCATCGTTTAAATACACTGGATCAAAATGACCCGGAAAACGTAGTCCGAATTCGATAGTCTCTCAACTGTCACAAGCTCAACAGAGGCATTACAATTACTCGTTCCCAGCGAACTACAGTGACGTATATAGAAAGAATAATGCATTTTGGCGTCCCTACGCCAATGTTTGGCGGTGGCTGTAATGGATCGTAATGAAATATTGGCGGACACCTCTTTTTTTTCGAGTTCACCATGTTCTCCGCACTGTCTCGCTACGATATGACAAGAGTTTAAACCGGGCACCCGTCGGCTTTACGGTAAATGCAACTTGTCTCTGAGGCATTCTTTCACTCTTCCGTTTGTCACAGTGAAAACGTAAAGGGACCGGTAAAGATGCCGCCAAAGGAATCGCCAAAAGTTTCCTGCCGGTTCATACCGTAGGAAAGTCGCGCGGATATTAAGCCTTCGTTTCGAATTTGTATGGTATTCGTGCCAGCAGGTACCTGTCTGTGTGTCCGTATGCGCGTGACAGTAAAAAACTGAACTTAGTAAATTTTATCGGTGTCCGCGCAACTGATTAATTCTTTGTAGCGCGAAATTTTTATGTGGGTTAAATATAATTGACGTAACTTGAAACCGGCTAATACAAGAACGCAACGTTTAAATAGACAACTAATTTATTGGAATTTTTGGGAGGTTGTTTAGTCCAACTTGTGAAGTAAGATTTAAAGATCATACGTCCTCTTTGATTGTGAAGGAGGAACGACCGAATTAAACACGCCATTGTAATGAAATGAAATTGGGAAACATTGATAAATCGATGTATGACTTCTTAGTTACAGTGAGAGCTATCAGGGTTGATCTATTTTACCCTAGATTCTAGTAGCAGCATTAACACCTTCTACTGCAAAAACGAGTCAAACTCGTCGTGAAGATTTCGCACGTAATCTACTAAATACGTATGTTCTACGTTTCTTCTAAATTCGAGCACATTCTTTTGTTATTAACTCTGTAATGAAGACTATAAAACAGGTTAATTAATGTCATGTTTTCGGCGTTGTGCCGCACTGTACGTCGGCCACATGTGGATGATACTAATTTTTTACTAGTCTCCAAACTTCATTTTTATTGCAATATATTCGAACAAACTGAATTTCACTACGATGTTTAGAATGCAAAACAGTTAAAGTACCAGCCATTATAATAAATTTGAACTTTCTAGTTTCAAAATTTCACTGATCAAATTACTTTAATTTCATGGGAATTTTTTTACTTGATTGTCGGCGTTTAACATGT